TTGCCCCCGATCAGCCCAGTCTGCCCCGTCTTCTCATTAAACCCCATTTCTAACTATTTTCCTGGGTGAAGGGACTCTGTGGGTGTCCGTATGGAGGTCCAGGTGCCAGCAACTGGAGACACAAGGGTCCATGTCTATCGTGCAGCTGCATATGTCAGTGTGTGATCACTAGTGACTATCGAGCAGGACTAGCGGGCAAATAGGGTAAGAGGCTTGGGAGCCAGGTATCAAAGTGGCCATAAGTCTTGGTCAAGGTGGTCTCAGTTTGGCTACTGGAGGGACTGCAAGGTCCAAGCCGGAGGCTGAGGAGACTGTGGGGTCTGGGGTCAACTGAGACCGGTTTGTATGTCTGTTTGTCTCTGCATGAGGCAGCTGGAGAAGAGAGGCTCTGAAGGCCAGCTACTGGTCTTCAGAGTGTGTCTGTGTGTCTAAGGCCAGTTACTGGAGGGATCGACAGTGCGTGTGTGTCCGTGCCAGGGGTCTGTACCAGCCACTGGAGAGGGGCTGTGGCCCCAGGGGCTCCTGTGTCCAGGTGCCAGCACCTGGGGAGACCAAGGACCCAGGGCCAGCTACAGCATAGACTGTCTATGGCCAGTTGCTGGAGGGATCCATAGCCTGTATATATGTATATAATTGCCACTGACAGACCTTTATCCTAATCAACCAGAGAGGGGAACACGATGAGGCCATTTTGTTTGCTTGAGTGCTGTGTTTTCTGTCCATGTTGATCCGTGGCTGTCCATCTGTCTGTGCCCATGCATTGTACATGCACGCACGTGTGCGTGTTCGGAATACGTGCTCTTAGCTGGGGCAGGGAGATGCGGTAACCTCGCCTCTGCTGGGCTACCAGATGCTGCAACTTCTAACATAGAATGAAAATTCTGATGGAACAGCTGGTGCAGTGAAAGAAAATGTCCTAATTTTTCCTTGGAAATATTTTTTAAAAGAAGGCATCTTTCTGTGATGCTGTTGTTTTGGTCATGAGCCCGGTAAGTTCTTCGTCTGCCACCTCTGAGTGCAATGCCCAAAGCAACCAGCTGTGCATTGTGATCGCTTGAAGTAATGTTGTGTATCAACAGAGCCTGAAATATAAATAACTTTGATTGGAGCACAGAAAGTTTAAAAAGAAAAAGAATAGTGCTTTTGAGGCATTTTGTCATCCCAAAATGGAGACCGCCACATGGATTAACCATCATATTTACAAATCAATTTTATATTACAAATTAATTTTATATTCACTCCTGAGCACCGTAGTAAGCTTACCTTTTCTGAAGTGCTTTTATAAAGCATAGGACAGAATATTGTTCATGGGTATGAAGGATATATATTTCTACTACTGCAGGAAGAAAGTCGTGGGACTGTAAAGCTACTGAAACTGGTGTCTCTTTGTCCTGAAGAGCGGGGCTACCTGCCTGGCATTTTAGCCTTAATGGCAGTTTCTTAGCTTAATTAGATTTCAGATGCAAAACTGTGAACATTATTTGATTTCCTCTGTCCTTCATTCCTTCCCCAATGGGATGTGGATACACGCAGGATAAAGAAGATCCCTCAGATGTCACTAAAAACATGGCAAAAAGTGGTTTGTCCACCGACAGCTTCTCTGAACTATGAACAAATATGCTTGTTTACTTCATTTTCGACCCATTAGAGAAGTAGAATGATGTGGCTTCCTTTAGGGCAATTTCTTCTTAAAATGTGCAGAAGCAGGTTTTTTTAAGCAGATCTTTAAATTCAGGTGGAAAAAAGATCTTTAAAATCAGCGACTGCCCTGTGCCTTCACTTAGGATCACTTTCTTTGGCTGGTTGACTGGCACCTTGCTTTTGATCTGAAACGTATGTTGTTAGATATCTCCAGACGGCAGAGAGAACGAGCTTAACTTCAGAGGGAAACGGAGACAGTAAAGATGCTTTGGATGCAGGTTCAAAACTGCCTGATTAAACCTAGCCTAAGGGAATTTTGTCCCTGCTCACGAATGGTCTACCGTCATCTGCTGCGGTAACTTCTCTTCTTTTTAGCAGATTGGCTTGTAGCATGTTTGGCAGTGATGCATTGACCGTGTCCGTATTAAAAGATGTCACTGATAAATCAGGAGAGAATATGCAGAACCTTTTTGTTCAAGTGTGCAGTGTGGATCCCGCAGCCTTACTGCATGTAACACTAGCAGGGCATGTTTCTTTCAACAGCTGTAGAAAACTGATTGAAGCTGGTCCTTTCCACATGTTTGCCTTGTCAGGGCATTAAAGCTTCAGGCTGCCATCTGTGTGGAGTTTTTAAATATGTATGACCCAAACAAGGGGCCTGTTGGGAAAGGCTCTAATCCTCTTGCATATGAAACCTGGTATTCTGCTCTTCTCTCTTTCTGATGTTTCTCTGCTTTCAGATATGCTAAATCTACCTTTGAAGTTTCATTTCTTCTTGTGTAAAATATACTTTAATAGGTGAACCTTGCAGCTGGGAATTAGGAGATACTGGTTCAAGCTGGACACAATGAGCAGTTCACGTAATCATCCTTTGCCTCGGTTTCCCCATTTGTACTGCAGAAAGAGTAATGTCCACCCTCCTGTACGCAGCTCTTTGAGTTTTGCTCTGGGTAACTAGTTTAGAAGCCATAATGTAGTGTAGACCTTCTACGGTCTGGTGTGAAGCCCTGCTGGAAGTTATCTGTCTGGGGATGCTACAAATCCATATGTAAGGAGTAGAGGCTTCCCTATTTCTGATCAGGAATTCACAAGCAGAAATATATCTGCAGGCTGAAGAGATCAGACCAGCTGTGTGGGTGCAGGGAGTCCTGCCCAGTCCTGCCAGTGACTTGCACAGAGTCAGAAAATCTGTGTCTTAAGCAACTCTGATGATTTATTCCCTGTGGTCTGTGTGCCCGTGATCCTTATGTATAAAGCCTTGATTTCTCAAGAACATTTGCATGTAATGGCAGACTGACTGTTCAGCTGCAAAGACACAAATGACTGCAAGGTGGGTGAGAATACTCGTGTAGCCATAAACTCTTTTCATAGAAGGCTTTTTCATGGAAGGATCTCAGGAAAGCTGAACTTTTCTGGCTTCCCTCTTGAGGTAATGTGTGTAGGTTTTATGTGCCACCAGGGAGCTATGGAGGATCAGGAGGAAGACAGATTTTAAGAAGTGGGTATCTCTTAGAGGCATATGTAGCAGCCCTGTTCCTGGCTGGGCCAGGAACTAGAGGATGTCTATCGTCTGTAGGGCGCCTGTAATTCCTTCTGATGGCAGAAATATTTGGAGTAGGGGGAGGAAAAATGTGAGCTGTTTTCAAGATGAAAATGCTTTGTGCTAAGGTGCAGCAGGCTGGCCATCGTTTCCCTTTGTCAGGGCAGGGTTTCTAAGACACGTTCAATTTCGGCATCTCTTGGAAGGAGATCTGAAAGGTTTTACCCATGCAGAAGACAGTGATTCTCTTCTCAGATAGGATGTGATCCCATAGCTAGACAAAAGCTGGAGTATTGAGTTTTGCTCTGATAGACCTCCTAGGAGCCATATATAGCTCTTTAAAAACCCAAGTAACCTGCCACAAAACTGTCCAAGAGAGATCGCTATAAGACAGCACAGTTATAAAATACTCTGAAAGGCTGAGTAGGGTTTTTCCCTCTCTTGTGATATTTGGAGCAGAACTTTAGATATATCATTTTGAACATGGCCTTTTAAAGTAACTTTCTGTTCTGTCCCTGTCATTTTTGGAGCTGTAAAGGAAAGCCAAAATGCCAGGGAAGGGGAGCAAATGAAAAGGGGGAGCAGGGCTAAAGAGTAGGTTTTGATCATCTTTGCAAGAAGTGACATCATCTATGAGAACAAAAGTCTTCAGTTGCTGCAACTGGAGACAGCTTTTAGTCTCCAATTCTATTTTGCCCTGAGCCAGCCAGCCAAATAAAAACAGTGGGATAAATCACTGCTGGCAGAACTTAACAGTTATGCAACATCCAGTGCACCATGCACCTATTTTTAGATCGGTTTTACACTAGGAGAATTTACTTTGTGAAATCTAAAAAGAATGTCTGGTCAGAGGCCGGGGAATAAAGAGGGTATTTAGAAAGTGCAAAATGTAAAAACACTTAGTACAAAGATGCGCTAGCAAGCCCCTCTTTGGCAATACTGATATCCTTTCAAGAGTGTTGGCTCAGTCAGGCATGGTAATGAAGAGTAGAGGTTTTTTTCGTCAGTATTCCCTTGAAATTCTAATCTGCAATTGCTTTTTAAATGTTTAACTATACTCACTTTACCCAAATAACTAACTATATGTGGTTTACTTAAAGCTGGGCTTCTCCATCATTTATGCTGTACTTTGTCTTTACTAGATCTGGAATGCAGTAAGCAGCAGCTCACCTCCTTACAGTACTGGCTGATCAGATTTAACAAAATTGTGTTAACTGGAGTGCTCTGCAAACCTGGCTGAGCCACAGAGATACTCCTCATCCTTTGAGAGATACCCTAGATTTAATGAGCTCCTGATATTTAGCTGGTATATGTTTCATGTATGTTTTCTCAGTCTTCAGTAAATTAGGATTGTGTATGCTGCTCGTTCCAGATCAAACTGAATCTTTTTCAACGTTCGCAGGAACAGACACTAAGTACTATTTCATTAGTTAAAAGCAATTTCAGCTTGCAGCACAGGTATGAATAACTGAAGATTAGTCTCACATATTCTGCTCTTTATCCAAGACCAGATGTGCATCTTCTCTCCTTTAAATTTGACTTTATCTTCTTGGTCACTGTTGTAATTCTACATTAGTTTGTACTGTGTATAATTTTGTTCCCAAAATTTTTTGCTCAGATTCAGAAGAGATAATGTTTGAGAAAAGTTTGACCTCTCAGCCTTTAGAGATTCTAGCAGGTAAAACATACTCTGCGTAGCTAAGGTATCTGTGGGATTTCTGCCACAATTTGGACTCTTCAATCACGCATTGAAGTGAATTAGTGTTCTGGCCATTGCATGATCTGTATTGATCTTTTTTTCCCCAAACCTTTCTTCTAGGTGACAATCTCGATGCTATCCATGACATAACTGTGGCATACCCCCAAAACATTCCTCAGACGGAGAAGCACCTTTTGAATGGAAACTTCCCAAAGGAGATTCACTTCCACGTCCAGAGATATCCCATAAAGACAGTGCCCACTTCTAAGGAGGAGCTGCAGCTTTGGTGCCGGAAGCGTTGGGAAGAGAAAGAGGAGAGACTCCGACACTTCTATGAAGGTGGAAAATGCTTCAGTGCAACAGGGCAAAGCCTTATTCCACCGTGTAAATCTGAGCTCAGGGTCCTCGCAGTTAAGTGCATCTCGCTCCTGTATTGGACTGTGTTCCCGCTGGGTATGCTTGCACTGCTGTACCTGTACAGCTTTGCACGATGGTATTTTGCAGCCATGATAATCTTTTTTGTTGTGCAGCAAAAGATATTTGGTGGGCTGGAACTAATTGAACTCGCTTGTCATCGATATTTTAAAAAACAACAGAAATTTCACGACACGAAAATAAAAAGCAATTAGTTCTGGGATAGAGAAAGACGTAAAAATGGGTGGGTTTGAGATGTCCTGCAAATTTTATGCACAGGGAAGAATTTTTGCATGAGAATTGTCTTTTACTATCGCCATTGTTAGACATTTGCACTCGATTCTGTGAAAAGAAAGAAAAATGTTAGTTATTGCTACACGTGAAAATGGTAGTTTTTATCTCTGAATGTAATTTCAACATTGCTCTTGCAAGCAGCTAGCAACTGCATTCTGCTGTAATTAAAAAACAAATTGCTGGATTATTGAACAATCGTGAGGACGTTAATAAATGTGACGTGCACTGAACTTTCATGTAGAAACCCAAACTGTCCAGCTAAGAGAGACAGCTGTGTGATTTCTGTATAATCACATTGTTATAAAGTGAGCGCCGGATTTGGAAAGTTGGTAAGTTCAACAATGTTTTGATGGTAGGTGGAAGTTGGAGGAGGAGTTGTTCTGTTTCTTTTTTTTATTTCAAATATTCAAACTTATTTTAAAATAATATTTTTGCATAAGCTTTTCCAAACACTACTGAACCTACCACTATTCAGTCAAGGATTTTTAAGCCTTGCAGTCTTGTGTTGTAGTACAGAAAACAGTGCTGGCTCTGCCTCCATTTAAGTCTTAACTGATTATTGAATAGACCTATGCAGCTAGGTTTTGATTTCTCACTGTTTCATACTGTTCCGGTCTCCCTGTTAGCTGTGGGAGACGTGTTCCTACTGTAGTATACAGAGCTGCAGGATAGGGGAGCTGGTTTTTTGTTGTTTTATTGGTGTTGTTTTCTGGTAGAGGCAAAAATAGGTGTCTGTTTCTGAGTAGCTGGCAAATGTTTTTCAAAAAGGTCTCCTTGTAGACTTTATTTGATTGACAACATTTTATTTATTTTTCAGAGTAGGCAAGATATCTTTTTTTTTTTTGAAGCATTTATTTTGGTTTTCACATTGCTTCCTTAAGCATTTCAAGTGTCCATACAGATAAGCAGGAAGACTGCTTGTTCCATGCATGTCAGCCAGACCTGTTGAAATGCATCTGATGCAATGGTTGTCTCCTTATAGGTACAAGAGATGGGTTTCAGACTTATCACAGCACAGGGAAATTGAGCTACATCTTCCCTTTGCAGTATTCTCTCTGATTGCCTGGTGACATCAGTGCTTTTCCAACCTCCTTCGCAATTTTTGGGGGGTTCTTTTGGGACTCCCACTGTAACACTTTCCCTTATTTTCATGACATTCAGAAAATCTGAAGGCTTAAGCTCAGATAAGGCACTTCCTTGTCGTATATAATACAAGTAATGTTCATGTGCACATGGTAAAAGACATAAACATTGTCAGCACTTGGGAGACACTTGAGGTTAGATTTGTTTTTCAACCTCAAAAATGTTAGACCACTTGATCAACCGTATTGCTGCAAAACGTTCCTGACTTACTAAATATTTGTTGTTTAATGCATGAAGGCTTGTTTGAGCTAAACCGAGATGGCCTGTCTCCATATGTTGAGTGTCATTGCCATGAAATGTGAAAGTACAGAGTGCAAAATGTGTCTTGTGCTGTGCTGAGTATCTCGAGCATTGGGTCAGCATGGTAGACACATCTGTTTTCTTCTAAATTACAACACTAAACGTGTTGTCTAATGTGTTTGTATCAAAGGCCATTTTTTAAACGAATCACCAGCCTCTATTCAACTGTCCCTTGCAAGGTGACAAGTATTTTTTAATCTATGCTTATAATAACTAATTGTTTATTATGCAGAAAGTACTTGAAGCCATCTGTTTTGCTCTAATATTTTTAATCCCTTTTTTCTTAAAAACAAATAAAACTAGGTTTGTATTTAGGGTTATGTTTCTTAATGATTTTTTCATACTTATATTTGAGTACCTGATGACTAACAACTGGTGTTTCGTTGTCACGAGTGGAAGGAGGCCCTTTCTGCACTATGAGGACTCTTTTTAACCTAATTCTGTGATATAGAAGATGTGGTAGCAGCTTAAATCCACATAGCCTGGTTTTTCTTTGCATAATACTCTGCTTTGGTGCAGTTCCCTGCACATCCAGGTAATTCGCCACAAGGGAAAACCTAAAAACCTCATTTATAGTTAATGCAGAGGAGACCTAAAAGGCTTCTTCTAGTCTGTCCTGAGCCACGGCTGTGCTTTCACACTAGGAGTAACCATGGCCAGCCTACTCCAATAGCCTTAACATAGTCTTCAGGAATGACTTCGGAGGACAGGTTATATACGTTCGTGGCATAAATACCAACTACACTTTTCTCAGTTGTTCAGAGAACTTTGTGGTGTCATCAAATGTATCAGAAACATCAGTGTGAGTCTTGGTCATGGAGCAGTGAAAGATTTACATCTGTGTGTGATTAGAGTTGGGCTCTGAAAATGAAATCAAATGCAATCCATCGTTGACCCTTACAAGGGGTTTTCTCCCAGCTGGAGCCAAACATGTAACCTACTGTAATGGGGTAAACAACCTTCAAATCTGTAATTCGTTCTCCTCTCTCATGTATTCGGATCGAAGAGAAAGAATAATCTTCTTGTCAGCTGCAAATGCCACATTTGCAGTGCCCGACTCCATCGTGCAGGGCGGCACATGGTAGGTGAAGAATCCTCCTCTCACAAGGACAGGTATTGGCTTTGTGATTGATGTAAATTTTCAGATTATGTGCATCATTTTCCAGCTCAATTAGAAATGGAAGACAGGGGAAAAAAATTGAATAAAAGCTTTGTGGATATGGAAGCTTCTTTTTTTAAAAAGTGGTTAAGGAAGTGGGGGAAGATCTTTCTGTGAATGCTTTTTTTTTCCCTCTTTGGTCAAAATGTAGCTTTTTACTCAAAAGGTTCTAATATACCTATTTTTTTGAGACTCTTTTGTTCTTACTCACCCTTTTTCCCTATTCAAAGTACACTAAGACATGCCGGGTAAATCACTTCGAAACGTTTTCAATGCTGTTAGGTTAAAGGTGCTAGTACTCCAGGAATCACACACACCTCTTCTTTCATAGCACCGAGACTCGTCTCACTCAGCATGTTTGTCACGGCTCATCTTCTCTCGTAGTCCCAGCAGCCGCACTGTTCGGTGGCGACTGCTCCACCTGCGGGTCTTGCTAGGTCTTGCTTACATTATCTGAGATCAATGACATGCTTTAGGGATACTGTTCTCGTTTGCTCAATCAAATTTTTCCTCATCAGCATCAGGGGTTTCTTTCTCTTTGCTCAGAACAGAAGGTTGAAATCCTGCCATCTTGTCATCAAGCTCATCTGGGTAGCAGGATGTCAGACCAAGACATTTCTCTCTTGGGTTCGAAGCTGCAAGGCCCAAAGCTGGTCTGTAAGGTGTCGTCTTCATCATACAAAAGGTAGTTCTAGTTTTGTGCATTGCATCAATCTCTGTTGTTCAAAAACAATGCGTGTTTTTGTAACTTGATTTTATATGTACACTGTGTGAAAGGAAACACCAGGATACCACAAACCTACAGAAAGCCTTAGTTTTCAGAGTTCACTGATTATATTATAATGTTTTAACCATGTACCAGTTACTCTACAGCAACAATAAAGACCTGAAGCATTGCATGTGTTTAATTTCGCCATTTTCTTTTTACTGCATGACATATTCGCTATGCACCCATAAGGAACAAACCTTGTCTTCAGTCATATGGCTGGCTGTCTTGGGCAGACTGGTGTCCGTTTGGGTACAGCCCATGGTTTGTGGCTGCTGGGGTGATATGTCCCTTCTCTCCACAGGAGGTTGGAAAGGGGCGGCTGGCTGTACCCTCCCTTCTAGCCTCTTCGCATAAAGGGATGCGGAAACCTTTTGAGTGTGCAAGAGCTACAGCTCAATTTTAGCCTTGCTCTGCTGCTTAACCAATGTTGCTTAAGAATAAGCTGTGGTTCGAAAGAGCGTGTTGATATGTAGGTAAGTCCTCCATTCTAGCTATATCCTGTTACCACCCAGGTAATTACTGCACAAGAATTGATCTATGGCACGGTTCACGTTCTTAGAGGACCTGTGTTTAATGTAACTTCAGATCACAGGCTCCTTGATTTCCCTCTGCATTGTCCGAAAGCTAATCTGGTGTGGAAGGACAAGGGCTGTGTTTCTCGGGAGCTGCTGTGCTCCTCATTACCTAACGGGGAATAGCCTTGCCGTGACTGCCGCACCCCACAGCAGCCGTAGCAAAATACCCACGTCTCCAGCAATCACCGTGTGTCCAAAAGACCACAAGAAACAGAGACCCTGGTAGCAGTTTCTGCAGCTGGAGATACTTGCAATGTCTATGTATGGTCAGAGCATTCAAATCAGTCCCCAGAAATCGAAATGAGCCATGCTCTGTATTGAGTGGCTTTGTCTCTCTGAAAAGATGGTTGTCACTTCTTTGCTTCCTCGGGGCTCAAATAGGCAACGAAAAAATTGATTTGTCTGTCTTACCTGCCATTACGGAAAATAATAGTAGTGGAGGCCAAAGCTTTCACCCTCCAGCTGCCCCAAACACCTCCTTTGCAGTTCAATACAACGGGTAGAAGGCTGAGTCTTATTTCCTGAGGACTTTGAATCAGACCGCAAGCTATCTCAACCAGAAATTATTCCCGGGAGCAGGGGGCACGGTCTGTGCTTTTAACACGCCTGAGCGACTCTCCCTCATCCTAGAGAGGGTTTGTGCTGAGAGACACGAGAGGCCTCCAAAGGCCCAGCATATTTAGCAGGAGCGGTGATAAGGCCCTCAATTTTTAAGCAGATGTCTCTGTTTTATTCCAGTCTGGCCTCTCTATGGTTTGTCATCCCTTTTTCTGGAGTTCTTCATGTGGGGTGACTTCCTTCTCTGGTGGTGGGGTATGCAGGAGACTGGCGGGAGGAGTTTGACCACAACGCTGCCTGCGTTTTCTCAGGTAGGCCTTGCTGCTCTCAGGAGAAGAAGGAAGGGCGTTTGCTCCTTCTGAGGTACTTCGCACTGGGCTGCGTGAGGGAGGCAGGTGCGCGGGGGCTGGTGTGAGTGTAACGGTTTTGGTGGTCAGCACCCTCTTCCCTAAATTTCTCTCTCCATCTTCTTTGTCAGAGGGAGGAGGCGAGAGCCCCTTCACCGTTGTCTGCAGGGAGCAGAGAAGCGCCTTCAGCCTCACCAAAGGGAAAAGCTAACGGGGCTGAGGCCGAAGCCGTGCAGAGGAGGTTAAGCTGCTGCGGGGTGCGAGAGCACAAGCAGCTGCTGCAGGAGGAGCGGGAGGCACCGCTGGGCACCGCTTTTTGCAGAGCCGTAACCTGGCAGTACCATCACCGCCCAGTTTTGCCCCTTACCCCTGGCATTGTTTCTTGGCCTGCCTTCGAGGCTTGTCCTCCTGCTTAAGCTGCTGGGTGTCTGGTGAGGAACGAGAGGAATGGGTCTTCATTAACGCTGAACCCGAGGGGAAGGGAAACGTCAGGGATAATGGGATAGAGGTGCTGGGGAAGGTGTTGGCTCTTGCCAGTGCTGGGTACAGCTGGT